AAACCATTTCAGGTGACTACCTCTTGAAGCTCATGGAGAGAATGCCAAGAGTGTGCAAAGCAGTAATCAGAGCAAAGGGTGGCTATTTTGAAGAAACTAGAATATAAAACATGTTTTCAGTTATTTCACCTTTTTTTGTTAAGTACATAACTCCGCATGTGTTCATTCATAGTTTTGATGCCTTCAGTGAGAATCTACAATGTAAATAGTCATGAAAATAAAGAAAACACATTGAATGAGAAGGTGTGTCCAAACTTTTGGCCTGTACTGTATATCTGTTGGTTTTGATTGGTGGCAGTCTGAAAAGGGAACCTGATGGGAGGAGCTCCAGATATTGATAAAGGGGATGGGAGCTGTCAGACAGAATGGAGTTCACTTTATTGTACACCCTTTTGTTGTATATTTCCTGCAGAGCTTCCTGGTTCATGCCAATTATTTTGCCTGACACATTAACCACTCTTGATAAAGAGTTTTTGTTTTTAATGTTTAAGGATTGGAACCAACAGATAAAGGAAAAAGTGATTACAAACTCAATAAAGGAACGGTAAAACAAGCACATCAGCTTATCTATCTGGAACCTGGCCAATTTTCTAAGGCAATACAGGAGATGCTGACACTTTTAATAAACAGAGTCAGTGATAGACTCAAAAGTCAGCTTATTGTCAAGTATGGTGCCCAAATATTTATATGACTCCACAACTTCAATTTCCTGCCCATTGATAACAGTGCTGACAGGTAAAGGTTTGGAGCGTCTAAAATCAATCAGCATTTCTTTTGTCTTTGTCACGTTTAGTGACAAAAATGCTTCCTCACACCAGGTGGTAAAATAATCAGTAACAGGGCCATGGGAATTCTCATCTTTATTAAGCAGGCTCACTATCACCGTATCATTAGCAGACTTCACAATATGGTGGTTCTCAAAATTGCTTCTGCAGTCATTTGTATACATAATGTACAATAGGGGAGAAAGGACACATCCCTGCGGAGAGCCAGTGGATGTTAATGCCAGATCAGACATTGTCCCATTTACTCTCACTCTTGGGGTCCTGCTTCTTAAGAAATCCAATATCCAGCCAGCAATACAGTTATCCAGGCCAAACTGGTTTCTGGACAAGTAGATGTGGCTGGATGGTATTGAAAGCCAAAGAGAAGTCGGCAAAGAGTAATCTAGCATGGGTGCTGGTGCCCATGGTAAATGTAGTTAAGCAAAGATAAAGTGGCATCTTGCACTCCTCTCTTGCTTCTATATGCGAATAAGATAAGATAAGATAAGATAAGATAAGGTAAGATAAGATAAGATAAGATAAGATACACCTTTATTGATCCCACATTGAGAAATTCCAGTGTTACAGCAGTCAAGGGGAAAGAGTCAGATTAAAGATTTCAAAATTTAAAAACTTAAAAAACTAGGCATGCAAAAAAAANCATTGAGAAATTCCAGTGTTACAGCAGTCAAGGGGAAAGAGTCAGATTAAAGATTTCAAAATTTAAAAACTTAAAAAACTAGGCATGCAAAAAAAAGTACAAAAAATACAAAAAACAGCAATAAATAATAATGATAACGAGCCGCAGATAAAAAGTGAGCAATGGAATAAAGTGAGCATATTTAGTGCAAAATGAATATTGTATGTGCAAATAAAGCAAATAAACAACAACAAGGGGGGCAGCA